GCTTAGTGAGAGTTTGCAGTAAAACATACCAGACATCTTTACACCATCACACATATCACAATTTCATTCACAATTTACACCACCAGGACCGCCCAATATCGAGTCGAATGAAAATTTAAGACCACATATAACCGACTTAGATAAAGCGAGGCGATATAGACAATGGTAATAACGGGCTTGCAGTGGCTAACCTATCAAAGAGAGCAGAGAGTTGAAGACGATCGAATTTGATTAGGAAGCGCCGTTGCCAAAAAGGGAAAAGACGAACACGATAGGCAATGGTGCAATGACGAACCCGTCGACGATTTATACGATCACTTCGAATTCCGACACCTCTGCGTATTCCATCATCATCACCGAAATGCCCACGTGATCGTCGCAAGCTTGAGCCGGGCAGACGGTCACTAAAGCCACCTTCGCGAGAAGGTGAAAGACTTAAACCACCGAATGAAGACGCAAAACCACCGCCGTCACGGTTGCTGACACCTTGGTCAGCATTGCTATTGCTTCCCCCTGCTGTAACAACTAGAAGAGAGAAAAACCAAATGTATACCCGTGTGCATTTGTAGCACAAAGGTCTGTTTATCCGATTTGTTGCACAAAAATTCATTAAGAGCATAAATCAAAACAACTCTTCGCAGAGAAACTTATCTACACAAATTCGCGCATAAATTATGATTCACACATATTCACACCCAGTTCTCCCAATTTCCAACTCGCGCTTTTTCTACAACAATTCTTATACCTCTGTGAATATCAATACACCAATATTATAGCTTGAAACCGCCCATCCGTGTAGGGTTGAAATTTGAGGGGAGAGCCAAGTGGGTGTGCGATAGACTTACCTCCACGTGGTGCACCCTGGAAATATGCCTTCACTATCAACATCTTATTTGGAAGCGGAGGGGTGTGTGCGATAGACTTACCTCCACGTGGTGCACCCTGGACAGCGTGCGATAGACTTACCTCCACGTGGTGCACCCTGGGCAACTTTGCGATAGACTTACCTCCACGTGGTGCACCTTGGGCAACGCTTACTCATACGGCAAAAAAGCCTATAAACTACCATCACCCCACTGTATGTCATATTTGACATCTTCCAAAGTACTCACCTCACCTTTTTCTACCTTTTCTATCTTCGTCTTTGAAACACACTTCTGTCTCCCCTCCCCCCCCCCCCCCCTCCTCCTCTCGACTTTCTTCCATTTTGATATTCCTTCCCCTCTGTGAGGCCTGAAGTCAACTAAAGGGCTAATGATAACCATAAACGCCTGCCATTCGATATAAATAAATAAATATCTTGAAACTTAATCTTACGGTTATTTTGTAGTCTCACTTTATATCTACTCCTTTACTTAAGCTTCATTCGACCTCGAGGTGGCTCTGCGGATTTTCAAATCGCCTAGTGACTCATAACCCCATAAATAGACTACCCTTTTGAAGTTAAATTTTTGTCTTTTTTTCTCGATCAAATATTAGCTAAAAGCGGCCAGCAAGTGTTTGTTACCTCCTCAAGTTAACTGATATTACTGAGGGAGCCCCTAAACACGGCAAGTTAAACTGAGATCGCTCAATTCGATAAGCCGAGATAAATAAAAGGTGTGCTGCTTGAGTTTCGATTCACAATAAACAGTATAGTATACTATTACCATATCGCGGTAACCGTCCGTCCATCTTATTATAACTAAGAGATAATTAGTGATAGCGGCAGAAACAATAGTGCATAATAAACTTTGCAAAACAAATATCCTTCCTTTCATCCAACTCGACAACAATTAGACTCACCAGATGCATCAGTAGCACTTATAGATGCAGCAACTGCAGTGGTTGCAGCTGTGGGTTCTCTGTCCGAAAGATCCCAGTAGACGGGCTCAAAGGTGGAAGCGGCAACACTGGTAGGTTCATATGCATAAGAATGGACATTAGCACTACTAACGTGATTACACCCAGAAGAGCTGAGAAGTGTAGAATCAGAGTTTCTAGGTGGTTCACGTACAAGACGGTAGATAGAATTAT